AGAGAGAGACAGAGAGAGACGTGAGAAAACAAGCCACCAGGTCTGAGACTTGAACTGCGATCAACCATGTGGGAGTGTCCAGCACCTTAACCACCATGCTACCTGCTGGTCCGAATATTCATGATCTTCTACTTAAGGTGATTTGGGGTAGTCAGCTTGGTTTCAAACACAAAGTCCAGTTTTATCAACAAGCAACCATTAACTTACCTCCTTGACTCAGAAGACATTACACTACTTTTTAAAGTTTATTTACTTGTTTCATCCATGAGAGAGAGACACACACACACAAGTAACCCCCCGCAGCTTACACACAGTGATCCATTTCTAACCGCAGCCAGGCCTTGTCCCGGGTGGCTCTGGCATTAGGCTGCATTGCATTACCACTGCCGCCAGCACTTTGTTGTAACTTTTTATCTTTGAAAAGAGTAACTATCAGTGTGGGGTTGAGACTTGGTAGCCATTTATTAATACTCATAATTGCATGATTTGGCAGCTGTGTTTAATATTTTTTTTTTAAAGCCATATATATAGGCTTTTTTAAATAGTAATTTTTGCTAAAAGGTGCATGCACTTGCTGGAGAGAGAAAGAGACAAGGTCAGAGAGAAAGAGAGAGGGAGAGGGAGAGAAATAGAAAGAAATAGAGAGAGATCACCTCCCAGGGAGGATGACCACAAACAGTGCAGCCAGCCATGGGGGATACAGCTGCCTTGACATCCTCACCACCTGCTGGCTCTATAGGGCATGATATTTTCCAGGTCTTAAAGGTCTTATCAATGGTAAAGGTGTGGTTAGCACATGCTACAAGTGACCTTATCTTACTCTGAAGGAAAAGAGAGTATATTGTATCTAGAAAATGAATAAACGGTTCTAAGGAAGATGTATAATTAAGAATATGTTAACTGTGAATAGCTTGTGTAAATTTTTTTTTTTTTAAGTTTTTGCTATAGAGCATGTGCACTTGCCAGAGAGAGACAGTGAGAGGGAAATTAAGAAATCACTCTGCCAGGGGGGATGGCCATACTGCAATCCCTTTCCCCCCATTCTTCTCCTGGGATTTTGGGCACACACACACCTAGCGTGATTTTCAAGTTGCCAGGTCTGGGACTTGGACTGTGCTCAGCCGTGTTGGAGTCTGGCACCTTAACCACCTTGCCACGTAAGAGAATAATTCTTTTTTTTTTTGAGAGATTTTCGCTATAGGGCGTGTGTGCTCGCCAGACAGACAGAGAGAGAGACATAGAGACAGAAAGTGAGAAATCACCCCCAGGGGGGATGGTCATGCCGCAGTCCCTTCTCCTCCATTCTCCTCTCAGGATCTTGGGCACGCACGCACACGCGCCCGGCGTGAGTTTTAAGCCACCGGGTCTGGGACGCGAACCGCAGTCGACTACGTGGGAGTCCAGCGACATAGCCATTATGCTAACTGCTGGTTCCCGAGAATAATTCTTTAAGAAAAGAATATTTGTGAAGAGGAGAGGAATTTGAGGCAAGTATCAAATTATATAGCTTTAGTCTGAAGAGAAATATAAAGTAATTATGAACATGGGGTGTGATTATCCTTTGATATATATATAGATCATATAATAATATTTTCTTTAATACAGTCCTGTTATTTTTACCAGAAATACGAGTAGAAATAGGTTATTGTTCTGGGTACAGACAGCAGCAGGGCACATCTGATTGCATTTAACACAGTTGGTCAAGGGGATCAGAAAGACCGGAGGTCAGAGAATGCAGATCAGAAGGCCAGGTGTTGAGCTAGCAGGTGTCATGGTGCTCAAGGTGCTGAACTCCCACATGGCTGACCACAGTTCGAGTCCTGGACCTGGCAGCTTGCTTTCTCACTTTTCCTCTCTCTCCCTGATCAAATTAAAAAATAAAATAATAATAAATAAAATGAAATAAATAATTCTCTTAAAAAAAAATAAGGCCGCGTGTTGTGTCATTGGATAAAGGAAGGGCTAATGATATCATAGGTCATAAGCTGCTGTGGAGCTAGGCCAGTCTAGAGAAGATGAGTTTCCAAGGAGAAAAAGAAATGGCCACTGTCTCATGGTCAGAGGGTTGGAGGCAATAGCAGGAGTGGTTGTTACTCGTACTGGGAACTAGACTTTGACTTTGGGCCACACTAGGCTACTGAAGAGAATGGAGGCTAGAAGAGGATGAGTCAGTGGCCAGAGTAAGTGCAGATAGTGAAAGGATTTGTCATCAGCATGGCCGTGGCTAAGGTGAACCCGTGATAGATCAGGCACTAATGAAAAGATTGGAACTCTGGGTCAGAGTAGCTTCAGCGAGAGGATTCCTGTGCTCTGAGGCGTGCTTTGGGAGAGGGGCTGACCTAGGTTTTGGGATGACTGGGTACAGGGCAGTACCAAGGCTTAGATCAAAACACGAAAGGCTTGGTGTTTCTGAATTCCAGCATTTGGAACTTCATGAAACAAAGTTTTACTCTACCATTCAGAACAATGCTAAGGTCAAGATGAAGGAGACCAAGTCCAGAATCTAACAATAAATAGCTAATGCTTATCCAGCATTCACTGTGTCAGGCATGCTTCTAAGTGCTTTACGTGTATCGTTTCATTTGTTCCTTCCCAAAACCCATTTAGGGAAGTAGGCATCGGCTTGCAGAGTTGCTACGGAGCGGAACATAAGACAGGAGGAAGGACCAGGTCTGATGTGTTTAAGTGTGGAACAGCGGTGTTCTCCAGACACCGATAGTTCTGGGTTCTAAAGTTTATCTCGGTTTTCGTCACTGTATGCAGCAGTACAGGACCATTTGCTGTTGGTGGTGCCTTTAACACATCTGGCTGATAAGGTGCATTTTGTGGCATAGGTTTCTAATGCCCGTGTAAGGAGTCTTTCCAGACCACTTTCACTTGAGGGGTCCCCTATTCTCCTATTCTGACTTTCCATAGCTTTCATTGTCTACACTCTCTTCCTTCCTTTTTCATACTTTTTAAATATTGAACAGTGACCTCTTCAAATGCAATTTAATCCTTTTTTTATGCTAAGTATAATAAGTAAGCCAAACATACACAAAACATACATATCCTGAACTATAGAAGTGGTTTCATAGCCACATACATTTTTAGTCAATTATACTTTTCATGATGAACAAGTACTTTCAAATATGTTAACAGAACTCTACCCAAATGTTGATCCTGCTGATTAAGCAATTGCCTGCTACTGAGAGTATTTATTTTTGAGAAGTTTAAAAATTTAGCAAGTAGTAGGTTATAAGCCTCAAAAGGTTTTAACTTCCATTATTTGAAGAACAGAGTATTATCTTTTAAGATAAACATTCTTACAAAAAGCTGTATTTTCCAATATCATCTCTTTAAAGAAAACATAAAGCAGTTTATTATCGTTATTAAGCTCTCAGAATACTGTTGTCCAAACTTTTCAGAATACATGAAGCACGCACATCAGCTATCACAGTCAAAAATGCCATTTAGATTTCACATGTTAAACAGCTACAAGATAGCTCACAATAGCACACATATACCTAATGTACAAATACTACTTCATCCTTTAGACACTCAGCGTTAACAAGAACTGCATGGCAGGCAAGCAGCAGTTAGCGTAATGGCTATGTCACTGGACTCCCACGTAGTCAACCGTGGTTCGTGTCCCGGACCTGGTGGCTTAAAACTCACACCGGGTGTGTGTGCGTGCGTGCCCAAGATCCCGAGAGGAGAATGGAGGAGAAGGGATTGCAGCGTGACCATCCCCCCTGGGGGGTGATTTCTCACTTTCTGTCTCTATGTCTCTCTCTGTCTGTCTGGCGAGCGCAAGCGCCCTATAGCAAAACTGCTCAAAAAAAAAAAAAAAAACTGCATGGCTTGCAAGATATTTTAACTAATGTGTGGTCATTAAAATCCAGTAAGAAATTAGGTATGGTCATTTAAAGACAGGCAATTAAAGGTTCAAATATTACTCTAAAATCTAAGACATAAAAATAAAATGCAAAGTGTAGCGTTTTTCCAACCTTCCTTTACATAGCTAGATATTATGACCTTTGCTGTAGAAAACAGTCAATACCGTTTCTCCAAAAGATAATGAAATCTCAGAAAGTACAAAAAGTGTCAAGATCCCTAACTTGCTTCATCAAATGCTTTCTAGCTCATTTCAACTCTTCATTCATAGTCAGCAAATCTTTAACCCTCGCAAACTTACTTGAGTTTTTTCAGATAAAAAAAAATGATCTCTTCAGCTTGTACCACCTTGCCTTCCAATTGGCATTGCCTTGTGATTCATTTCAGTTATGAACTCTATGACAAGATCTTTAAGAATATCCACTGACTCAGTGTAAGGATTTTGGTCATCCCCAAACCCATACAACATACATTGTAATTCTTCAGGAAAAAAGTCTTTCTTTTCACCTGTCCATCTTCTGCCCCTCCTCCAATTTCATTTTCTTCCTCAAAAATTGGGTCATCTTCTTCATCTGCCATCCCACCAGCCCGCCATCTGCAGTGCCCCTCATACTTGTTTTTTTGTTTAAAATACATAAATTTTACCTCACCAACAAGCTTCTTGAGGTCTATATTACTTGAGGTCTATATTGTATCTTACAAAGACTTTGCATCACTTGCAGAATCCGGTAAGCTCACATAATGTTTCCTTCCTTCCTTCCTTTCTTTTTTTCATTTTTGCCAGAACCAGAGACAAACAGAGAGACAGAGACAGTGAGAGAGAAAGTGAGAAATCATCCTCCCAGGGGAAAAGTCATGCTGCAATCCCTTCTCTTTCATTTCTCCTTCTTTTTGGGAGATTTCGAGTATGCATACACGCTTGATGTATTTCTCAGGTTGCTGATTTTGGGACCCCGACTACGGCCACACGAGATCCTCCTGCCTTAATTACCATGCCACAGATCGGCCACACACATATTTTCTATACCTTTCTACATCTTGATTTTAGTCAAGTTGTAATCACCATTAAGTAACTGGTTATTTTTACATTTTACAATGTATTAACTGATACATACTTTCGTTTCTCAGGGCAGACTCAGAAAATGAATCTTTTCCAGTCAATAACAAGTGCCTTGGATAACTCGCTGGCCAAAGATCCTACTGCAGGTAAACTTCATTTATGCTTGATTATGGTAGCTATGTTAATCCTAGAATTGAAGATTTGCTGGAATGTAAGGGACATTTTATCTATCCAGAAATTTCAAAAGACCCAACCAAATGATTTTTTTATTGAAAAATTATTTTATTTAACTGTGTTTATTTATTTAAATTTGACCAGAGAGGGACAGATTCAGGACTCAAACCATGGTCAGCCATGTAGGAGTCTAACACTCTTAACCTTCATGCTACTTGCTGGCCCCCAACCAAGTGATTAGGGTAAATAATCAAACTGCAGTATTAACTCAGTACTAATGAGTACTTACGTATATTTAACAATGTGAGATCATTAAGTTAACTTTTTCTCATAGCATGGTCCTAATATTAATATTATATTAGTATCTCCTGAATTAGTACCTACTGTGTACTACTACTACTTCAGCATGTAGGAAAAAACAGAAAAATATCACACCATTTCTTATTTATTTATTTATTTATTAGCTTGCTCATATTCTGAGAGACAGACAGAGATAGAGAAAGTGAGAAAGTACCTTCTGGGGGGTGTGGCTATGCCACAGTCCCTTCTCCATTCTCCTCTTGGGATTTTGGGCACACACCACATGACCAAACACGTTTTTCAAGCTGCTCGTTCCAGAACTTGAACCATGTGGTTGGTCAAGTGGGATCCAGCCACCTTAACCTCAACACCATTGGTTGACCAAGAAATCAGTTTTTTTTTTTTTTTCCACGCTACAATCCCTTCTCCATTCTCCTCTTGGGATCTTGGACATGCACGCACACATACCTGGCTTGTGTTTAAGCCACCGGACCTGGGACTAGAACTGTGGTCGACTACATGGGAATCCAGCGACATAGCCATTATGCCAACTGCTGGCCCCCAAGAAATCATAAATCATAGTTTTAAAGTTAAGTAAAAATAGTTTTTTTTTTCTTTTTTGGAGAGATTTTTGCTATAGGGCGTGTGCACTCACCAGACAGACAGAGAGAGACATAGAGACAGAAAGCGAGAAATCACCCCCTTGGGGGGATGGCCACGCCACAATCCCTTCTTCTCCATTCTCCTCTTGGGATCTTGGGCATGCATGCACATGCGCCCGGCGTGAGTTTTAAGCCACCGGGTCCAGGACGCGAACCACGGTTGACTACGTGGGAGTCCACTGACATAGCCATTATGCTAACTGCTGGTTCCCAAAATAGGTTATTTTTTAGAGGGAAAGTAAGAGCTGGACCAGATGATGAATAGACTTTGATTTGTTTTTAATCGAGAATAATTGAACTAGATTAGTAAATTTAAATATAGGGAAGGATGAGTTATTTTCTTGAGGTATACAGACTGGTTAGGTGCATTCTTCAAACTAAAGTTAGCTCTCTGAATGCCCTGTATTTGTTTTCCCACCTTATCCTGAAGCTCTTCTCCATGTCCACTTACCATCATTCTTTGCTTTGCTCATCGAGTCCCCCTATACTTGCTTCCTTTCTGCTCTGTACAATCTAAGCAAGTCCCTTTCTCACTTAGGATGGTTCTTAGCTTGAAGTTTTCTTCCTTCAACTCTCCAGATGGCTGTTACTCTGTACTATGTACATATAAGGAAAACCCACTGGCCTGAAATGCTGGAGAGTGAGTCATAGTTCTGCCTGTAGTTTCTTAAGTTGGCAAGTCTTAACTTTACTACTTCTCTGGCCTCATTTTCTTTATGGTAAAAACAAGATGGGATTTAAGGTCAGGGGTGTTTTCTCCCCTGGCTTCTCTTACGTGGAAGATGTGCAGGCAGTTTTGGTTGTCACCAATGTGTGTGTCGGGGGAGGTATGGAGGCAGCTGTCATCCAGTAGATAGAGACCAAGGATATTGGTGGTTGTCTACAACCATCTGTGTAGACAGGACAGGTCCTCACAACAAAGGAATTACCCAGTCCAAAATGTCAATAACATCAAAATTGAAAATCCTTGCTCTAGATCTATGGTTCATTTCTGTTTCATGATTTAAAATGTGAACACATAAATTATTTATTTCTCATTGTTAATACATTATTTAGGGATTATTAAATAAAATGTCTTTTTTTTTTTTTTTTAATTTGCCAGAGGATATGTGTGCTTGCTGGGAAGAGAGAGAGAGAGGGAAAGTGAGAAAGCACTCCCTGTGGGGAATGGTCACAATCCCTTCTCCTCCATTTCTTCTTTCTTTCTGAATCTTGGGCACCCATGCACATGTGCCTGACATTTGTTTTTTCAAGCCTCTGGGTCTAGGATTGGAACCGGACAGTCAGCCATGTGGGATCCAGCCACCTTAATCACCATGCCACTTGCTGGACCTAAAATGTGTTCTTTAAACATTGCTTTTCAGTAATATTTGGTGAAGATGTTGCCTTTGGTGGAGTCTTTAGATGCACTGTTGGTTTGCGAGACAAATATGGTAAGTTAATATGTGTGTGAACAGTATTTCTGTAGAAGTTTTACTTTTAAGATTTTGAAAATATAAAAAAAAAGTCTATTAAATTGTTTATTGTATCTTTATTATATGGACAGGCTCCTTTTTATTCTACTCTCCCCCACTCCCCATGAAATCCTTTGGCTTAGATTTCTACAAATGTTTTATTTTTTTTTTCATGTTTAAAGTTTTTCTTAGAATTATTTATTTAAATTTTATTTATTATTATTTTTAATTTGCTATAGGGCACATTCACCCACCAGAGGGAGATAGATAGAGAGAAAGTGAGAAAGCAAGTCATCAGGTTTGGGACTCTAACCGTGGGAGGCCATTTGGGAGTCTAGTGCCTTAACCACCATGTCATCTGATGGCCCCCCCAAATGTGTTATTTTTTTAGGAATTATTTATTTTATTTTGTTTATTTATTATTATTTTTTAATTCACCAGAGAGAGACTGAGAGAAAGGGAAAGTGAGAAAGCAAGCCACCAGGTCTGAGACTCAAACCATAGTCAGCCATGTGGGAGTCTAGCACCCAACCACCATGCCACTTGCTGTCTCCCTCAAATGTATTCTTCGAAAATAAAAAAATTTGGAGGGTTGGCAGGTGGTATGGTAGTTAAGTGCTGGACTCCCTCATGGCCAACCATGGTTTGAGTCTCAGACCTGGCGTCTTGCTTTCTCACTTTCTCCCTCTCTCTCTCCCTGGCTCTCTCTAGTCAAATTGAAAAAGATAATACTAATAAGATTAAATTAAATAATTTTTTTACAATGTGAGGAAACAAATTATAAAAAATGATTTTTTCCTTATTAGTTTTAGAACACGTGTGTACATCTGAGAGTGAAAGAGGAAGACAAATGACACCCTCCCCAGGGTCTGGCCATGACGCAGGCCCTTCCTGTAGTCCTGCAGTCCTGCAGTCCTGCAGCCCATCAGATCAGGGCGCTTGTGCATGTGCCCAGCATGTTTCAGGCTCACTGGGCTGGGGATTTGAACTGTAGTTGCCACATGGGATCTGATTTTTCTTGAGTGGTATGGTACTCCTGTGCCACAGAACTGTCCCACCCAATGTGTTCTAACTCTAGCATCCCTATGGTCTAGTTCATGTCAAGTATATTACAGATTTCAAAAGAATCTTTGTTACATGTATTATTCATTGTGCCATTTATTCGTCCAAGAGCCTTTGGTGTCCTATTGCTGCCTGCCTTAGCCAATTTCAATTCCATTGCTTCCAGTTCAAGATTCTGTCTGTTGGTCTCTTTTAACAGATTGAATCTTTCAGGGAGTGAGAGAGAGAGAGATGGGGGAAGAATTTATTTTGTAAGGAATTGGCATGTGATTGTGGGGGCTGGCGAGATTTTAAGGCAGGCTGTCAGACTGGAAATTTAGGCAGGGTTATGTTGCAGTCTTGAGGCCAAATTCCTTTTTGTTTGGGAAACCTCAGTCTTTTCTCTAAAGGCCTTAAATTGATTAGATGTGGCCCACCCACATTGTGAAGGGTAATCTGCTCTACATAAAGTCTACTGACTTAAGCGTTAATTACATCTAAGAAATACCTTTACATCAACGTCTAGACTGGTGTTTAACCCAATAACTGGCCACTTGAGCCCAGCCCAGTGGACATATGAAATTAACCATCAGTGTGCTCTTCTGCTTTCATCTCATATGACCTGTATCTTTTGCCTGGCATATGACTGAAATCTTCCTGTTGCTTTTATCCATTTTGTTTGACTTGGAACCATCAGAATGCATTTTTGCCCATCCTAGCATTCCTACTTCTCTGACTTACTGTGTGAGGAAAGTATTTCCATCTCTTACTGTTCAGGTTGCCTTAAAGAAGCTTTTACTGCTTTGTTTTTTCTCTGAGTCTTACCTAATTTTGAAGTCAGCAAAGTAGATAAGTTTAGGATTAGGAGCAGCAGATATCTCCCTGTTTTACTACCTTTTCTGTTGCTCTGTAATGCTCACATATATATGCAGGGTGAGGAGAGAGGATCTTGAAGATGTTTTTTTAATTGTTCTCTCTCTCTTTTTTTTTCTTTTGCACTTTTAAAATTTATGTTTGGGACTAGCAGATAGTGTAGTGGTTAAGGTGCTGGACTTCCACATAGCCAACCATAGTTCGAGTCCCAGACTCAATGGCTTAAAAATCACGCTGGACATATATATGTGTGTGCCCCAAGTCCTAAGAAGACACTGGAGGTGAAGGGATTGCTTTGTGGCTATGCTCCGATGGGGGGTGATTTCTCATTTTCCCTTTCTTTGTGTCTGTCTCTTTCCAGAGAGTCCATGTACCCTCTATGGCAAAACTTTAAAAAAAATTATGTTTAATCACTGTACATCTTTTTAGTGTACAAAATGTTTTTGCTAGCATAAGTACAGTGCATATCAGTCCAGTCAAAGATACTCCCAAATACATTATCAGCAACAGATACATTTTGATTCATGTGTCTGTTAAATGTTTTTGTACTCTGATCCCCTCCCTCTCACCCTGTATTACACATCCCCTCTTACCTGTCTCTGGCATCTACAGTTGCTCTCCCTGCTGTCGTAGCTTCCCATCTTTCAGTTCCTGTCATAGAGTGCAGATATTTGGTATGGACTGAGCAAGGACATATAATATGTCTCTCTTTCATAGTCTGGCTTGTTTCAGTCAGCATTAAGTCTTTCATATTTGTCCACTTTGTATCAAATATCAGTATCTCATTGTTTCTTTTTTTATGACTGAGTAGTATTCTGTAGTGTATATATGCCACATTTTTTAATCCAGTCATCTGTTCCTGAGTATTTGGGCTGATTCCTTGTCTTAGCAATTGTGAATAATGCCACAATAAACCTGGATGTGCAAGCATTCTTCTGACTGTTTTCTTTTTTCTTTTTTTTTTTGAGAGATTTTCACTGTAGGGCGCGTGCGCTCACCAGACAGACAGAGAGAGACATAGAGACAGAAAGCGAGAAATCACCCCCCAGGGGGGATGGTCATGCCGCAATCCCTTCTCCTCCATTCTCCTCTCGGGATCTTGGGCACGCACGCACACGCGCCCGGCGTGAGTTTTAAGCCACCGGGTCCAGGACATGAACCGCGGTCGACTACATGGGAGTCCAGCGACATAGCCATTACGCTAACTGCTGGTTCCCCTGACTGCTTTCTTATCCTTTGGGTAAATACCCAAGAGTGAGATTACTGGGTCATTTGATAGTTCTATTTGTAGGCTTTTAAGGAACCTTGGTATTGATTTTCACAGTGGCTGTACTAATTTACATTCCCACCAATAGTGTAGGAAGGTTCCCTTTTCACTGCAGCCTTGCCAACACTTATCATTCTTTATTTTTTAAAAATCTTAGCCATTCTGATTGGGATTAGGTGGTATCTCACTGTGGTTTTGATTTATATTTCTGCTGTGGTAAGAGATGGCGAGCATTTTTCCATATGCTTTTTAGCTGTTCATATGTTTTCCTTAGAAAGTTGTCTATTTAGCACATTTACCCATTTTTTAACTGGATTTTTTTTCTGATAAGCTGCTTTTCTTGCTTTACCGTCTCAGACTGTTACACTCAAATCCAAGAAACCATCACATATTCTGTCTCACTTATCAGTAACTTTTAGCTTGTTCTTTTTCTTCTACTTATAGCAAGTTGAATTTTTGTATCTCTTCCATGTTTTCTCCTAGCCGTCTATTTCTTTTTTAAAAAAGTTTATTTTTTCTTTATTCCGTTAGAGTATGAGCATTTGAGTGTGAAAGAGGAGTACCCTCCACAGGATCTGGTAATGTCACAATCCCCTTCCTCTGGCCTCCTAGCCCATTGGATCTTGGGCACTCATGAGTGTGCCCAGTGTGTTTCAGGCTGACCAGGCTGGTGATTCAAACTAGGGTCAGCATGTAGGATCTGGTGCTTTACCACTGTGCCACAGAGCCAGCTCTCCTTGCTATTTCTAATATCCATTTACACTTTGAGCTAGTTGGTCAAAAGATGATCTTTCATACTCATTCAGATGCCTATAAACTTTCAGATTTTTAAAAACAACTTTATTATACATTTGATCTCAAAAGTTCTCTCTCTCTCTCACTATATATATGTATGTATGTATGCATATATTAGAAAATTTGGAAAATACAGACAAGCATAAAGAAGAAAATACAAATTCTCCTACCTCCAGAGATAATCTGTATATAATCACTGTACATATCCTGGTATGTACATTTTCAGGATATATTTTGACTATGTTCACATATATTCACTAAAACAAAGAATTATACTCTTACAATCTAGTTTCTTCTGTATCTAGTGTAGGCATGCTATTGGGCAGTTTCTAGCCTTTACTCTTTCTGTCTTGCCTGGCTCTGAGTGGTAGCACATCATGCCCTTATTTAAGCTGGTGAATCCTCTGTTGACTGTCCAGGTTTTGATCAATGGCATTCTTCTTACTGTACCCATTTCCATGCCACCTACTGCTCACACACTAGCAACATCTGAATTTCTGTTTCTAGTCCAGACCTCTGTGTTGAGTTTCAGATCTGTATCCTTAATATTCCACATACCCCTCAGCTCAGTGTTTCACAGCCACTTCAAAATTATCATTTTCAAAGCTAAATTTATTACACCCACCAGCAAATCCACGCCCCAATTATATTTCCTATTTTGGGGAATAGATCACCATTCATTCGGTTACCTAAGCCAGAAACCAGGGATGATTCTAGTGTGTTCATCTTCATTCTCCATATCCAGGCAAATCTTACAATATTATCTACATAGTCTGTCATTAATCTGGCCCTTCCTTTTGATTCTAATTGCTTTGAGTTTCAGATCTTTCATTTTCCCTGCCTGGGAAGTTTAATTTCTTTTCTTAGTAATCTCCAGTCCTTTAGCCTCACAGTTTCCCCAATCTGTTCCTTACCTTGTTGCCAGTGTGATCGATCATTCTAAAATATGCATTTCTTAGCAGAACAGAGAGAGAGTTTGAGATCTACCTAGGTAGCTACCTGA